AACTGTCTTTATTTCCCCTCACACTTTGGATGTTCCACTTTGGTTTGTACCTACACACTAAATGTGTAGGTACAAATTTACTCTGACATCTGCCTTTTTTTTCTTCTTCTAACCACACACGGCAATAGCGACAGCTGCATCAGATTGAATTTACGGCAAAATGTTAAACGTCAATTTTAACGACACTCTACATTAAAAATAGAAGTTTATAAAATAAGATTTCTCCAAAATTAAACCAAGAATAGACTTGTGCAGTAAGCAATCTGCTGTTTTATTAGAGGAGGTAAATATTAAATTAAAAAAAATGGACTGCTGTCGAGGTGCTTCTTTATATAAGCTATTGGTGTGTATGCAGCATTTTGAGCAACTCTTGTGTGTTTATTACCACCTCTAAGGATAATGTGCGCAAAGTTGGCTATTATACAAATTACTAAGCGTATTAATCAAGAATCTTTGCTGACGTACCATGGAGAAGGCATAACAATTATACAGCGCAGTTTTCTAGTTGTGGACTGAGGACTCATCCTGAATCAGCAAACAGGCAATGGACTAATGGTAAATCTTTGTTTAGCTTTTCATTTATTTTTTTGTTTATTCTTGTATTTCAGGCAAAGTATACAGAGCACTCACACTTGTCACACAAGTCAGGAAATAGGGGTCAAATGTCATGGTTTGGATAGCCTAGTGAGTACATCCATAGCTGTTGCTTCTCCATTTTGATGGGTTAATGAGCATTCCAGCAAGGTTGTGAGTTGGACTTGTTGACGAGGATATAAAACAACTGGCTTTATGCTGAAGGTTTTTGAAGAGCAGAGAAAAGGCTGAAGCCTGGACCAAACTTATGTCTCAGAAGTACAGGTCACATTTTGGCTGGTGATGTTTAAGTGCAGGACAGCAAGAGGTTGAATAACTGGTACATGAAGAAGAGAAGAGAAAAGAGCGTGGGTCATGCCTCACTTAAAAAACGGTTTATGATATGATTTTTTTGGGGGACAACTTAACTTTTTTATGCTATATCTATTTAAATATCTTACTTAAAGAACTCAATTCCTTCTTGTTGTCCCAACGCAATCTGATTGTGTGGAACCCAGCATTTTTACAGTGTACAACCATCAATAAAGACTATTTAGCATAGACGAAGCAAATTAGTTCACAAAGAACAAGAACGTGAACATGAACATACGCACACACACACACACACACACACACACACACACACACACACACACACACACACACACACACACACACACTCACAAGAATGACATACATTCTAAAATGTAGTCTTAGCTGTTTAGAAAGTCCAGTTCTGTGAGTGGTTCACATGTAAAATTCCTTAAAGCTCATCTATCGAGATTGTTACCATGATAACTTAAACCTGGGTGTGATGTTTTATCACATACCAGTTGATTAGTTTTCCTCCACTCCCTGCAGAAAGTTTTTTTTTTTTTTTTTTTGCAGTCTAGAGAGCCTGTGTAGGTTTCCTGTCAACACATGTCTTACACCAACTGTACTATCTTACCTCTTTTCACACCACTGGTTTAAAAACAAATTGATAAATGAGATGTCAGTTTAGACAGCATTAAGGTTGTGCATGACTTCAGCTGAGGTTATTCTTTAAAAGATGTACTGGTTTCATTTTAGTCAGAGCTGTACTTTAATGTAATAAAACTTCATCAACTGAAATGGTTGCGATTTAGATCAAGAACAAATATGCGACCTGACACTCACTCACTATCCTTCAGCTTAGTTATATTAGGTTTATTAGGTACAGTATATTAGTTTATTTATTTATATAAGAGATTTGCTGAGCTTAGACAAAAGCTTTGGGGCTCATAGTTTGCTGCATTAATGATGACTGATCACTTGTCATGATCAACGATTTATTTATTTTATATTTATGAATTTTTTATATTTATATTTATTTATTGCATTAACAACAAGAGAGTCACAGTATAGTTTCTACAAAATATAGTTTATTTTCAACCATTAGGGAATTATGAGTTTACTATACCCTTTTTGTCCAACTGCTTGTAGACTTTTTCAAAACATTGTCACCTTTTTTCAAAACTACACATAATTCTCAAAACTGCACACACAAAATGCAAACTGCCTAACATCTCCATCGTGTAACACTGCATTCAAAATGCAATAAACACATGTCAGAATGAAGCATTTGCATAAAATGGCAAACACCAATAATAGTAAGTGTTTGGATGTAGCATGTAAGGACTGCTGTTCTAAATCTACAGCTGTTTGCTCTTTTATAGGTTTATACAAAATTGTCAATGTTCTCAATGTTCAGTGTTCTACAGAGAAAGTACTGGGCTGAGAGGGGGAACATGTGCACTGTAAATACTGTAGTGTAATCATAGTAAAGTAGAAACATAAATTATTTATTAGGCCAATGTCGTATAGCAAATGTAAAGCAATATACAGTCACACACTCGCACACAATGACACAAACACAGTTGAAGTCAGAATCATTAGCCACCCTGTTTATTTTTTCCTCCCTTTCCTGTTTAACGGAGAGCATATTTCTTTTACACATTTCTAAGCATAATAGTTTAATAACTCATTTCTAATAACTGATTTATTTTATCTTTGCCATGATGACAGTACATAATATTTGATTATATTCTTCAAGACACTTCTATACAGCTTAAAGTGACATTTAAAGGCTTAACTAGGTTAATTAGGTTAACTTGGCAGGTTAGAGTAATTAGGCAAGTTTTTGTAGAATGATAATTTGTTCTGTAGACAGTCGGAAAAAATATATAGCTTAAGGGGGCTAATAATTTTGAACTTAAAATGTGTTTTTTTATTAATAAATGCTTTTATTCTTGCAGAAATAAGAAAAAATGTTATCAGACAAACTGTGCAAATTTCCTTGCTCTGTTGAACATCAGTTGGGAAATATTAAAAAAAAAAAAAAAAGAATCAAAGGGAGCAAATAATTCTGACTTCAACTGTATAAATACTCTATATATTGCTTTCTATTGCGTCGTTTGCCTGGAGAAGCGTCATGTGTAGCGTTAGCCATCATACACTTTCCAGGACCAGACTGAGAAGAATTCCTCTGTTATTTTTTATAGGAATTTTGAGTTTAGGATTAAGAAAACGAGATCATGCAATATGTACAAATTGTGAATACTTTTTTGAACCAGAACAGCCCGGTGTACTGTCACCTTTAACATATTTATAAGCCTGTACTACGGTGAGGCAGTGATTGGTTACTGAACAGTTAAGAAATTAGTGTTTCCACATTTGGGCAGTATGTGCGTGTGACCTGGTGAAATAAAATAGCATTTTGATTGGTTGTGTTTTGACTTGTTGTGAAAAGGAAAGCAAGCCCCTTGTTAGATTTTTTTGTGTGTTTTAGGTAGAGAATTGTGTATGGTGTTTTGGAAAAAGTGTTTTATGCGATTGAATACTTAGTTTAAGACTGAGAAATGGCTTCTGGAAATTTGCTGTGTAGTTTTGCATTTTGACTGAGACATTTCAGAATTTGTGACATGAAAAGATTTTGTGTGTAAGCATTTGGGAAAAAAACTGTAACAGCAGGTGTTTATTACTAATGCTAAATTTATTCCTAACCACTTAAATTAACTTCAACTTATAATTAACATGCCAACTTCTGACATGGAAACCCTTTGCCTTAAACAAGTAGTTTTGAACCAATTTTGTTAACCCATAATTCATCTGTATAACTTCCAGTTTGCATTGTGGGAAGTGATTTGTCACCATTACTAAGATGTGCTGATTCTCGGTGTCTGTGTGATTTGAGTGATTCAGATGTTCGGTGTTTTACTGATGACACTCAATTAGCGGAACCCTATTTCTATCATGAATGAGTTCAATGAAATCTATCCCACAACATAATTATTGTAATAATACAAGACTAAAATCACTAACATCAGTGAATCAAATGCTAAAATATAATGCAACACTTTGCTTTTTGCTTTTAGTCTGTCTTGGCATGGCACAGTGTTTCACAAAAAGAATATGAGGAACGAGGAAATCAAGGAGATCAATTGTTAGTTTTCAGGTCTTCAGAACATTATCTTCTGCTGACTACAAATTCACTAGCTGATTAATCTTTTTTAGACAAATAATTGTGCAATATTTTTCGTTAAATATGTTATTAAAAAATGAAGTTTACTTCATTACCTAGTGTTTACTTCAATTCCGAACATAGGCTATCCCTATACTGAGTAATGTAATATGAAAGCTTAAAGGACACCTAAAATGAATTGTCTGCAGAGGGACCTTGCTTTGCATGAGTAGCATTCTATATTATTGTGGGACATTTGATAGGTATCCAAAGATATTAGTAAAAGTTATAAATATTTTTATACGATAACATGTTTATTTCACTTTGTCACTTCCACAACAAACGGCAACTTAAGTGTTTTTCACAATTAGACTTTATAATAATCATTAAACGTTGCTCTGTGCTCTAAAAAGAGTCACATTTTATGACCTCTCCTTGATTTTCAAGGTCTCAATATTTAAGTTTGTAGGCTTAGGTCCCACTTCTAAATCTACTCTCCGCAGTTTACCGTTTATGCACTTGTGCGTCTGCATTTTTTCGTGCTAGATTGACTTGCGCCTATACGCTGTGGTGAAGATGAAGTGTCCGCCTGAGAAAAAAAAACATTTGAGCGTGCCCGTAAAGACACGGTTCAACCTATAGAAGAACTGTAATTCTTATGAAGACTGAACAAGAGAAACAATGATTGTGATCCGGGCGTTCAAGTTCAGGTTTGTCAGAATATGCAACGGCCAGAGCTGAAAGCTCCACCCCTGCAGAACACCTCTTGTACAGCAGGTAAAGTGGGATTTCTTTCTCTGAACACCTGTCCTATTATGAATAGTGCCTTAATTCTGACAGAATTAAATTAGTTTAGTACAGTTAATAACCGAAGAATTGTTTGGTTGTCTTTTTCTATTTTATATTCAATCTTCAAAGTGAGCAAGGGCATAACAGGTGGAAAATAATGAAGCTTCAAAGCGTTAATGCATTTCTTATCATGTTCGCTGGCACCGTAGTAATTGGGTATGTATTTATACTTTTGTAATATGTAGGTGTTCTGTAGTCTTGGTTGTTTCACGGTTAAATTGCTAAACTACAGTAAATAATAATAATAATAATAATGATAAACACTGATTGAACAAAAATTTGGGGGCTTTTTATTGCGTGCATTAATAGACAATACACTAACTACGCAGCAATAAAACAGCCCACATAGGCTATGCTCCACAGTTCACTCCAAACAGACTAATCTGGAGAATGTGTTTTATATATGAGATGCTAAAACACAATTTGATTTGGTTTTCAAAAACATCTGCATGTTTTCAGAAGGTATTTTATTTATAGGAGCATATAGCCTTTTGTTCACGATTATGTTCATGCATGATTTATAATGTTTTAAAATATTATTTTAAATGTTTTTGAGACTAAATGTTTTTATGGGTACAGTTGTTTTTAATGTTATTTGAATTTACATTACTTTCCCAGTCATCTCGAGTTTAATTGTCTAAATGTTTTATTAGTCACAAGCCTACACTCTTAACTACAATCAGTTATAGCCTTTAACAAACACATCATAGCCTGAATTTAAAACAACATAGGTTTCTCGTATTTTTTCGTCGGTGTTTTATCATATTTTAAAGAAGGTACGCTATTTTTAGACTTTGTAGACAAAGAACAAATCCTCAGACTTTCCGAATGCAAATTTGAGTTCTCTGACGTGTGCGCCCGCCACCTGTGAGTTGATCGGAAAAACCCTACAGATGCTGCGATAAGGGAAGGGGGGTGTTCCCAAAGGTCCATTATAACATTTTAATCTCTTCAGTCAAAATTACAAATATTAATTTTTAATTCACCATATCCTAGCGTTCTCATTCCGCATGTGATGATAATAGTTTGTGGTTCATTCCGATATGCGGAACCTGACCTGCTACATAATAGACTAAGCTGAATCTCTGGCCCATAGTCTGTAATAGACCCACCCCACTTCTCAAGACCAGAATTTTGCCCCTACAGTATGAGCTAATTTGTCCGATTTTTGACAGTATTTTTAAAACTCGTGATAGCAATGTCAAAAAACCCAATATCCGTGTATATAGCTTTTCAATATTTTTTCTTCACATTTTATGAGTGCCTTGGGCTGACTTTTGCCATTTATCCTGATGAATCCCTTACCCAAAGAGCACTGACATCAAGCTACCTGAGATTTTTGTTTGTTTGTTTGTTTGTTTTGTTTGTTTGATTTTAGTATGATAAGTATTTGACAAAACATGTAGGAGGTAGCCTATGTTGCATCAAAAAGTGTGGTAATGATAACCATCCGACAAGCTAATCCAGCACAAATAATGCTTAGAACTTCACAAAGATGGTGTATTTGAACCTCATAATTTGAGGTGAATAAATACAAAAAGGTCCACTTTATGAGAACAAAAAGAAACACCGCTTTTAATAGGCTGGCTACTGGCCTGTATCGGCTAACCCCCGTTGAGAAACTTTTCTCTCTAGACACACCAACAGCTGTAAATTAATTTCAAGAGATTTTTGAATTATAGATTTAACCTTTATGTACTTTTCTAAACAATTAGTTTGTTACAGTATTTGGATGCCCTAAATAGCCTACCTCATCTGTAATTTCCTGATCATAATGATTTGACTATCAGCCTGGCTTTAACAGACTTGCTATCTTTTCCCTTACAGACTCTTTTATTTTGGCTTCACTTCCCCCTCATTAAGGTGAGTTTTTCCTAATTATGTATAATTCTTTCTAGAAATGAATGAGATCAGCCTGTACATTTATTACTTTAATTTAACAGTTAATAAAATATTTTATTCTACTTATATCACTCAGCAACAGTTCACCATTCATGAGATAAAAAGGCACTGTCTGCCTGAATAGATCAAGTACCAGATTAGCGTGTCGAATAAACTGTGGCTGTTGAGTAAGTTACATTTAAACTGTAAACATATAACTTATTTAATCTTTACAAATGTGCGTAAATACATTTTTATAAGTGACAAACTTTTGACTAAACCTAAAATTGGCGCTACCTTTTGGATCTTTAAAAAGTAAACCTTTCAAAAGGAAAAATCTCAGTTCTCAGGTCGAGATTCATGATAACATTGTTTTCAGACATTCGTGACATTTATTATTGCTTCACAGTGAGTCAAAATAAATGAAACAACATGAGAATCTAAAAAAAATCCATACTTAATTTGAGTATATTTATATTTTATAGATTTACTTATAATAGACAAAGATACACTAACCATGTTACAGCATTAACTATAATAAAAAATTTTCTGTTGCAGATATATAGAGCAAAGACTTTGCCTAAAGTAAGTATTGTCACTGCTCACATACTTACTGAAACTCATACTTTAAATGTTCACACAAAATAACAAGCTTTGAGGACCTACAAACATAAATAAGCAGTGAATACTGACATAAGCACAATAACATGCTAGACATCTACACAGATACAACCGAAGCTATAACAGAACACATTCATCCAATTATCACTGTTTGTCTTCTATTTCTTAGTAAAACTAAAAAGAGCCGGGAAAATGCTCTCTTGCAGTCGCCTCAAGGGTAAGTTCAAACATTGTTTTCAACATCTCTGCCCTAATTTTTATGATCTGTTTGTTTGGTTGTTGGATCTTATTCAGAGTCTAGAAAATATGTCTTTTGAAGATATTACATTTATATGCCAACTTCCATAATAAAGTGATGGAAAGTCAGGTTATTTTCTGTTACTGTACCTCAAATAAATACACATCAGCTTTTTACAGAAACCACTAACCAGCTTCAAAATTTTTTTGTTAAAATAGTCTGCACAATGAGCTCATGTTATCTAGATGTTTAATAAATAAATGTGTATTGCTACTAGTTAAGCAAACTGGTAAATCAAAGACATTTTAAAATGGACAAGAGCTTAAACTTTGAAAGTTCAATGGATGTTGGATTGAATGCAGCTGTTGACAGATAACCAGTAGGTTTGAATATCACTAGTAGAGTTTTATTATTAGTAAAGTCAGTGAAGAGATGTGATTTCATAATACATGTTAAGCTATGTATTTATTAGTTAAGTATGTATTTATGAAAATTAGTCAGAGGTAAGGAGGAATATTAAAATGTGACTACATCATAACCATTTAGTACTGAAATTTGTATTTAATCTTATTATATTTTATTTTGTCTTATTTTTATTCTATTTTGTTGTATTTATTTTACAGGTTCATATATAAGCAACCCAGTGTAGTGGGGTAAGAAAACAAATATTTGCTATTATATTATATTATATTATATTATATTATATTATATTATATTATATTATATTATATTATATTATATTATATTATATTATATTATATTATGCATATGTATTATCCTTATTTAAAACAGCCCAGATGGGAAAGTTGGTCCTCTGACACCATGGTTAGCTCCAATTGTATCTGAAGGAAGTTTTGATCCCACACTGATTGATGCAATCTACAAACAACAGAACATTACAGTAGCAACCACCATTTTCGCTCTTGGAAAGTAAGTTTTTTTATTTTATCTTTCTTTGATATTCAATTTTTAAAGGTACCGTTCAACAAAAAGGGACAATGGAGATAATTTACTATTCCCTTTCATTAATAACCCATTATGGAACAAACAGTTAGACCAAATTAGAAAGTACTATTGTTAAAAGGACACATGTTCGCTGGCTAGTTTTATCAATGTTTAATAAACTCCTGCATTGCCTACGAGGTGCGTTTAAACAAACCAGTTGTGTTGAAAACACCCTGAAATTGTTGTTCCACAAGGGACTGAATCTACAGTTAGTGGCTTGCAATGAGGAAACAAAGTACCTGATTATCTGCAGAGAAGGGGAGCATCACATTTGACTACACATTTGACTACATTTTTTTGACTGTTCTCCTCAGTCATATCCATTCTGATGGGATAAGGAGCATTGTATTTGTCTAAATATCTGTTAATCTCCATTTCCTCCAGTCCCTGCCTTAGTAAGCTCACCACTACCTAGCTAAGGAGTTCTTTCTGGCCAAAAACTTTATGTCCGCCATTTTTTTTTTTTTTGCGTTTGGGGAAGGGGGGATGGGAAGAATGATAAGCAACATACTACTTTTAAAGTTTACTATTTAAAGTTGCTTTTTTTTAAACAATTCAATTCCTCTTTGACGTATAACACTGAACCAAATAATACTAAATCTGACAACCTCTCACTTCTGTATTATACACATTCACACCAACAGTACTGGTACCAAATTCAGTCAGGCTCACGGCAGAGACCCTCCGGTTGACTGTCTCAGAAAAACAGCATTTGTTCCCAAAATCTTGCACAAGAGGGTCTTTGAATTGTGCACTCATTGCTCACCAAAGAACAAGCCATTACAAAGCTACCTTAAAACTTAGATCTTAAACATCACTTCCTGTACACTTCCTGTAACATGCGCAAACCATCAAGACAACTAACTGTTGGGCTGGGTCACCCACTTCCCACACCTCAAAGTCCATGATCCCACATTGCCAGAGACGGACTTGCCTAAATTTCAGGGTAATCCCAACATTCTCAGGCATAGACAGATTTTCTAAAGCATGAAGACTTATCCCTGCAAACAAACCTGTGCTAGCCCTTAATGGCTCTTTGTGCCCCCAGTGGGCTGCCAGGATAGGACCATTGAGAGTTTGCTCATTGGCAAAAATTGTTACATAATTGTTGGTTCTGCATGGGCAGCTCTCAATAAGCCCACACAGTGCACTATAAATTTTATATTGGGCAGAAAGATGGCGCATGCGGGTAGCTCAGTCACCTCACAACAAGAAGGTTGCTGGTTTGAGCAATGGGTGGGTCAGTTGGCATTTCTGTGTGGAGTTTTTTGTATGTTCTCCCTGTGTTTCCTCCACAATCCAAAGACATGCGGTACAGTTGAATTGAGTAAGCTAAATTGACCATGGTGTACAACATTGTAAAGATGTTTTGGATGTTGTCCCTTTCGACAGCATTATTAAAGATTAATGTCATTGTGTACATGCTCCATGTTGCGGTATCACTTTAAGGGTCCCTTTAATGCATTTTGTTGTATTTAAGTTACATTGCATCTACATGCCAAGCAATTCTCAATAGACTATAAGTAGACTGGGGTTGGGTTATGGTTAGTGTAAGTTGACATGTACTTGCAAAGTTCCTTAGATAAATGTTGAAAGTGCAGTATCAGCAGATGTTAAGCAGACAGTCTACTAATGCTCAAATGAGAAGTAATTGGCAGGTAGTTGCAATGCAACTTTTAGTCAACAAAATGTGCAATAGGGGCTATTAAAATAAAGGGCTTCATTTTCACGATCTAGGCGCAAAGTCAAAAGCGCAGGGCGGAAAAGCATTAAGGGCATATCTGAATCCACTTTTGCTATTTTAAGGATGGAAAAACACTTTTTTAAGGAAACCTTTTGTATGCACAGACATGCATTAGCCTATAGAAATAATTTCATTTGTTTAGAACAAAGATTTGTTTCAAAACTATTTCTGAATTCAGTTCTGAATTCAGCAAACAAATAAATGAACAATAATAATAAAGTTTGGTCAAAAAAGTTATATGCTAATACACATGCTATGCCCCATATGGTCCAAAACCTGACTGGTAGGCAAATCTAAGCTTGTTTTTAGTAAAAACAAAAATAAATAAACATATAATAAATAACACTAATAATAATAATAATAATAATAACAACAACAACGACAACATTATACAGAAGCAAGTTGTCAGGAATAAACTGAAAAAGCTCCCTGAGATGAAGAAGGCATGAAATCAGTGGTTTTTATATTTATGTAGAAAATAATATATATTTTTAAAAATATGATGAATAGTATTATAAGTGTTATCATCTCTAAAGTTGTGTCCCTTTTTTCATGGCCATGATTGTATCTCCTTAAAGAGAGCTCACCCAAAAGTAAACATTTACTCACTATTTTCACAACTTAAATGGTTCTACTGTTCAACAGTAAAAAAAAGAAACTCATAAAGGTTTGTAACAAGCGGAGGGTGAGTAAATGATGACAGAATATTCACTTTGAGCTGAACCATTTCTTTTTATCCAATTGCCAAAGTATTTACATTTCTATGATTCTTCCTTTCTGTTTTTCAGATACACCATTTTCCTAAAAGATTTCCTGGAGTCTGCAGAGCAACATTTTTTTGTTGGGTTTCGTGTGCACTATTATGTCTTCACTGATCATCCAGAGCAGGTTCCTGATGTGAAACTGGGTGAAGAACATGAACTGACGGTGATGACAGTCAATAGTTTAAGCAGATGGCAGGAGATGAGTTTGGGCAGGATGAAAAGGCTGGAGTTGCTGATTGAGAGTGGACTGGTCAATGATGCTGACTATCTTTTCAGTCTTGATGTGGATACAAAGTTCTACGGCCGCTGGGGAGCAGAGTCTTTGGGTGATCTTATAGGTGTGATACATGCATGGTTTTATTATACACCTCGTGAGCAATTCCCATATGAGCGAAGGCCTGAGTCTCAAGCGTTTGTCCCTTATTCTGAGGGTGATTATTATTATGGTGGAGCTGTGCTTGGTGGTTCAGTGAAGCAAGTATATCAGCTTGCTAAAACCTGTCGAGAGCAGCTGGACATTGATGCAGCTAAATCCATTGAGGCAGCATGGCAGGAGGAGTCCCATTTGAACAAGTACTTCATTTATAACAAACCCAGTAAACTGCTTTCACCCGAATATTCTTGGGATGATAAAAGAGGGACACCACGAGAGATGAAAATGGTTAGATTTTCTCAAGTTCCTAAAAACTATGATGAAGTTCGTCCAAACACATAAAAGCTTTTAAGTGAAGACTGTGTGAATCTTATTTTACCACTTTATCTAGCTCAGTGGTTCCCAACCTTTTTCTTTGGGGCCCCCCCCATAAACATATACAAACATTGGAGCCCCCCCACCATATAAATACACACGCACGCACGCACACACATATGTACTGTGTATATATATATATATATATATATATATATATATATATATATATATATATATATATATATATACATATATGTGTGTGTGTGTGTGTGTGTGTGTGTGTGTGTGTGTGTGTGTGTGTGTGTGTGTGTGTTTGTGTAATATTAATATATAGTAATATGTATAGAAAATATTAATTAATCAGTTTTAACTTGTCTTGGCCTTCAATAAAACCAAAATTTAGGTAGGCTTTGTCATACTGTCTAATCTTCGCCTCTGAAGAATCACAGCATTTACGTTTGTCTGCCATTTTTGTTTTGATTTTGCCTTTATGACACGTTGACAAGCAGATTTCCCGAGTGAGCAAAATTAAATAATTATTTAAAGTTATTTATTTTAATTATTTTCACTATTATGTTGGAATTTTAAGCATGTGTTTAGATTATTTTTTATTTTTTGGGCTGCTCGATTTTGGGAAAAATCATAATCACGATTATTTTGGTCATAATTGTAATCACGATTATTCAAAACCATTGCCAGTTAAAGTCAAAATTATTAGCGCTCCTGAGATTTTTTTTTTATAAATATTTCCCAAATTATGTTTAACAGAGCAAGGAATTTTAACAGTATTTTCTATAATATTTTTTCTTCTATTTGTTTTATTTTAGCTAGAATAAAGACAGGTTTAAATATTTTGAAACCAATTTAAGGTCAATATTATTAGCCCCCTTAAGCAATATATATTTTTGATTGTCTGCAGAATAAACTACCGTTATAATGACTTGCCTTATTACTCTAATTAAGCCTTTGAACTGCACTTTAATCTGAATGCTTGTATTTTGAAAAATATCTAGTAAAATATTATGTGCTGTCATTATAGCAAAGACAAAAAGAAATCAGTAATTAGAAATGAGATATCAAAACTATTATGTTCAGAAATAAGTTAATAAAATATTCTTTCCATGAAACAGAAATTGGGCAGGAAAAGGTTTGCTAATTTTCAAGAGGGCTAATAATTCTGACTTCAACTGTATACATACAGTTATTTTCCACCCTGCAATGGAAAGAGAAATAAATACAATAGAATAAAAATATGAAACAAACTGTGCTTTAAGCATCTTCACTGTAAGAAAAACACTTTAGCTACAGCATTCCTTCAGTCAAGAGCAGCAAAGGTTTTCTCGTTATGTTTGTTTAATAATGATAAAAACAGGCGGCAGAAGGATTATAGCGCGCTGTATCTTTAATGGTTTCTCTTTCACGTCTTTTGATCCTCAACTCGTTTGTTTATTACACAAATGAGGGTTAATGTAAATAATCAGTAAACACCGCGTTTTGACACCTATTTGACCATTAAAGCGTTCACGTTAAGATGACTTTAGATGTCTGCGCTCCTCTGCTCGTCTCAGTGTGTGAATGAGAGTGAATACTGACCGGCCGCATGCTTCTGACTGCGTGATCGTGCTGCACACACACATAAGCTCTTTCGCGCTTTTAAGAGCAACACGTGTACAACTGTGGCGAAATATGATGCAATAATCATTTATCTCGATTAATGCTTTTTATAATCGTTTGAAACCGAAATCTAAATCGGATTTTCGATTAATTGCAAAGCCCTTTATAATAGTGGACCATGCCTTTTTCTACCTCAATACTTATCCTCTCCCGCGCCCCCCCCCTGTGAACTCTGGCGCCCCCCTTAGGGGGGCGCGGACCCCAGGTTGGGAACCACTGATCTAGCTAAATTAATGTTTTGACATCAACAGTTTATCTAACCCTGTCACTTCACAACAAGAAGGTCCCTTGTTCAAGTCCTGACTGGGTCAGTTGACATTTTTGTATGAAGTTTGCATGTTCTTCTTGTGTTTGTGTGGGTTTCCTTCAAGTGCTCTGGTTTTCCCCCTGGTCCAAACATACGCACTATAAATAAAAGTTGGGGGTTCATTCTGCTGTGGCGACACCTGGTGAATAAAGGGACTAAGTTGAAGGAAAATAAATGAATGATTGAGTTCACCTAACCTGACATGAAACAAACAATGTTAAAGGAATAGTTCATCTAAAAATGAAAACGTTTTTAAACTCCTAATTATTTTAGCTTTGTCACTATTTATACTGTTAAAGATATTTTGAAGAAAGCTGAATACCTGTAACCAGTGACTCTCCACATTGTACAAAAAATAAATATGATCACCAGCCAATTAGAATCAATCATTCAAGAGCCAAATGGTGTAAATAAATGTTCTTTTTATTTTTTATGGTATGCCACATTTTAGATTAGATTACAGAAAGCAGTTTTATATTAGATGTACATGCATGTGTCCTTTGGCCACTTTACATTGTCTCTGGATTTTTATTATTAAAGTAAATCGTAGAGAACAAGGTGTCATCATTTAATTTTTTTTTTTTAAGATGAAATTGATTTGAGTTTTATAGCACAATACACCATGTTGATTACTCTAACTAAATATATGGTTCTTTTAAAAGAAAATAATGACATCTGTCTCCTCTACTGGAGAGAAGTTCAAAACAGCTAAAAAAGAAATTCTCTAAAGATTGTCTTTGTGACAATCTGCTAATTAATTGACTCAATACTGTTGAATTATTAGAAAATTAAGGCTTCTCTGTGTATTGTATAACTGATTTTCAATTATTTTATTATTGTTCATAAAATGAGAGTCCAATCCTGCTGCCTTCCAGAATGTGTGGTACATGAGAGCAAACAACAACCATTATTGTGAGCTCCTACATCCTTGCATTGAAGTTTATGTTATCACATGAGAAGTTGTCCGACAAAAAAATAAGAATAATTTGATGGAAGATCACTAGGTGTTTATAGAAACTGTAAGCCGCCAGCCACAAGAAAAGGCTGTGCTGCAATGTGTCAAAACTGGTTTAGTCACTCCACCTATTTTATATGGTGTGACTGATGTGATAATTAATGTGCACTTCTTTCAAAACTGTCTTACTCTGATTATATTATTATTATAAGGAAATATGTTCTACACACCCATAATTATTCAAATGAATACCTCAAGGGTACATATTAGTACCTAAAAATTACAAAAGTGTTCCTCTTAAAATGTTTAGGTACTAATATACACGTTTGAGGTACCAATATGGACCCTTTAAGTACAAATACCTTTTGAAAAGATACCACCCCAGTGACAGCTTACTACCATTATTTCTGAGAGTGTATCTGGGAGCGCATGAGCATGTGCACTTTATACCAGATTACCCAATCTTTTATTAAATGTGTTATCTTTTATGTCCAATTCATAAATGAAGTGTTATTTTAATAATCTAACGGTATAAAAAATACATTTTTGTGGTTAAAATGATCAAATTATTTAAAATAGCAAAGTTCTTTTGTCTATTCAAATTGCCTTTTTCGATTCACCAACTAGAATGTTATTTTTAGCAGGTACTGGCAGAGTTAAATATTAGATTTTAATCTGACTGAAGAGTCAACGTTTTCTACTATGTCCAACTTTTTCAACTTTTTTTTTTTTTTTACTTTTCTGATTTTTTTGATTGAGGCAGGTCAGCAAAGACACATTGCACAAAAATATTCACTTTGAATGCTATCACTCAATCGAATGGGCATTATCAGTGATTATCAGCTGATAGATATGGGCCAGTAGGCTCAGAAGGCTGTTATCATCCATCCACATGGTTAATCAACAATACTAATAGAGAAGACTCCAGATCCACATGTGTTTTTACATTACTGTGGCTGTTGTGTTTGGGGTTGGGGTAGATAATAAAATTAGAATAAAATACAATTAATGGGAAATTTAAAAAATAATATAAATAATTCTTGTTAACTTCTATTCCAAATTATATCAGCCTTCTGAATCGACTAGTGTACACAGAAGGCCCCTTCTGGCCCATGTCAGCTGATAACCGTTGATAACACTCATTCAATTGAGTGATAACAATCAATCTACTGACTAAAATAAAGTACAACATCAACGTGTGTTCCAAGGGATTATTTATTAAACTTCTTCCAACAATATTTAAAGTACATATTTTTCGAGTCACACAAGTCTTAATCAGAAATGTCAGTCTATTTTTTTTATTTTTAAAAATCTTTTTTTTATGTTGAGCATTGAAGAGTACAAAAACATTATTTATTAAAAGTAAAAAGAAATGTTATTTAGTAACGTTGATAATTTTTAATATTGTCTGTACAATGGCAAAAAACATGAATCACAGCCATGTGCACGTGTAACAGGTATGGAAATTATTGTTCACTTTATCTATAGAATTACACAAAATGTGTGTTTTACCTGAAATGTTTATTAAGTATACCTGAGATGTTTGTCATTATGTGCGTCTTCTACTTTAAATTTATAAGAAAGTTTTTTAAATTTCCTGTTTTGTACCCGCTTCCTCCCTTTCTGCACTGACTGCACATGGGAGAGGCCTTAAATCTTAAATCATATTTACTTTAAAAATCACTTTTGAAGCTAGTTCTTTTGTTTAAATAATATTTTATACTCTCTTTTTCACATTTGTTTTATTATTTTTGTGTTTCCACTTTAATTTAGGATTTGGTTTATTTTTGTTTCACTAAAGCATGTGAAGGCTAAATGCATGGCCCTTTCCCTTTAAAAGCTTAAAGGGCGAAGACACTGTAAAATAGAAAAAAGAAGTTTATTCATAAACAAATTTCGAGAGGATCACGTGCTTATGATTGTTCACAGCTGTTCCAACTTTAGCTAATGACTGATTATCCTATCAGACAATCCTTAACTCACTATAAATAACCAGACTTTTCTCATCTCAATATCTTCGTCTTGAAGAAACCCCCCCCACCTAACCCTACTTTCCCTCCTTTCAAACGGGCATCACGGTGGCCAGTG